ACTCTTGGCACCAGTAGCCAGGAAATAAAAAAACGTATTGCAATGGGAAAGTCTGCTGTTAGGGACCTCTCCAGGGTACTGAAGAGCAATGGTGTCACTCTGGGGACTAAGGTATATCTGATACAGGCTATGGTCTTTGCAATCACTTGTTATGCATCAGAGGGTTGGACAACGACTAGGAAGGATAGAAGGAGAATTGATACCTTTGAGCTGTGGTGCTGGAGAAGAGTATTGAATGTACCATGGACTGCTAAGAAAACAAACAGATTTATACTGGAGAGGGTTAAAACAGGCTGCTCCTTGGAAGCAAGGATTCTGGGCTTCGTCTGACATACTTCGGACATGTTGTAAGGAGGGACAGGTCCTTGGAGAGTGACAGCATGCTTGGGAGGTTGGAGGGACGGCACAAGAGGGGAAGACCCTCTATGAGGTGGATTAATTCAGTGACTGGGGTAATCGGGATGGGTGTGTCAGAGGCAGTGGGATTGGCAGAGGGTAGAGCAGGGTTTAGGGCTCTTGTACATAGGGTTGCTATGAGTTGCAAGCGACTCGACAGCACATAACAACAAACACCACCACCTACTGATTTTTTACAAGGAGATGAAGTCGGTTAAGTGGGGAAATGACAGCCTTTTTAACAAATGGTGCTGGCAAAATTGGAAAACTATCTGCAAAAAACTCAAACAAGATCGACACCTCACTGCATACACAAAAACCAATTCAAAGGGGATTATGGACCTAGGACTAAAACCAAGGACTATAAACCTCATTAAAGAAAAGCTGGGAAGAACTCTAGAAGACCTAATCCAAAACATAAACAATCTTCCAAGCATCCTGGAAAATCTACAACCAGAAGAGGATAAAATAGATGAATGGGACCTTCTAAGAATCAAATCTCTATGCACATCCAAAAACTTCTCCAACAGGGTAAAAAGGGAAGCCACAGATTGGGGAAAAATATTTGGTTATGAATGTCATACAAGCGACTTATATCTAGAATTTCTAAAATACTCGAGCACTACAACAAGATAAAGGTAAATAACCCAATTGAAAAATGGGCACAGGATATCAACAGACACTTCACCAAAGAAGTCATTCAGATGACAAATACACACATGAAGAAATGTTCAAAATCCCTAGCTTTACGAGAGATGCAAATCAAAACAACTATGAGATATCATCGGACCCCAGTCAGAACAGCAAAATTTAACAGAATGGCAAGCAACAAATGCTGTAGAGGTTGTGGAGAATCTGGAACCCTTATTCATTGTTGGTGGAAGTATAAAATGGTGCAACCACTATGGAAGGCTGTATGGTGCCTTCTCAAAAAGTTGCAAATAGAAATACCCTTTGACCAGCAATTCCAACACTGGGAATATACCCTAAAGAAACCAGAACTGCTACCCAAGCAGATATATGCACACCCATGTTTACTGCGGCTTTGTTTGCAATAGAAGGGAGCTGGAAACAACCCAAGTGCCCATCGACAAACGAATGGACAGAGAAGCTGTGGTATTCACACAATGGAATACTATGCTGCATTGAAAAACAAGGAACTCATGAAATATTATGCAAAATGGATGACCCTGGAGGACATTATGCTGAGTGAAGTATCTCAGTCACAAAAGGACAAATATTGCATAGGGTCACTGTTGTAAAACAGGACTGACATCAGGGTTGAGGGAAGACAGAAGAGGAGGGGAGGAAATTATGTATATTGCATTGAAACAGATGAGGGAGAGAACTGTTTAAAAGGGACATATGAATGGGTATTCTTGTCATTACAGAAATCCAGAGTGAAGGCTGCATAGTGGAGTAGACTTGAGGGGATGGATTGCATAACAATGAAAGTTTTTTCCTTTTTAAGGAGAAGAGTGAATTGTGGGGGAGGGGGTGGGTAGGGAGAAAAGTGCAACAGTGAATGACTGGAAACCCTAAGTTTCTGTAAACTTTCATTAAAATGAAAAAAAAAAAAGAAAACCCACTGGAGGGTTAGCTATGAGCTGGTCCTGACTCAGAGGTATACACCACCACACAGGAGAGCAAACAGAGGGTAGGGTTATGTAGACTTGTTAGCCACAACCAAACACTGAGGGGATGACTCCATGGGCCTGGGTCCTCAGGACTACTGTCTCTGAGAACATCAAGGTCAACTGGCATAATGTTCTATACTTTGTAGAGTAGAAATTTGGGTGTCTTAAAAGCTTAGGAGTGGCCATCTGAGGTACAGTCATTGGTCTCTCCCTATCTGGAGCAAAGAAGAGCAAAGAAAATCAAAGATGGAGGGAAACGACATGAACTACACAGGACCAGAAGAACCAGACGGTGCCTGGTGACCACTGCCGGCCACTCTGAAGGCAATCACAAAAGAAGGTCCTTGATAGAGTGGGGAAAAACACGGGACCACACTTAAAAATATTAACAATATCAGGCTTCTAAGATGGCACTGAAGGCAAAGAAGGAAGCCCCTGCCCCTCCCAAAACTGAAGCCAAAGCAAAGGCATTAAAGGCCAAGAAGGCATCCTGAAGGGCATACACAGACAGACACACACACCCCTCCCCGCACGTCACCCACCTTCCGGCGGCCTAAGACGCTGAGACTCTGAAGGCAGCCCAAATACTCCCGGAAGAGTGCCCCCAGGAGAAACAAGCTTGACCACTATGTTGTCGTCAAATTTCCCCTGACCACTGAGTCAGCCATGAAGAAGAAGATAACAACACACTTGTGTTCACTGTGATGTCAAGGCCAACAAGCACCAAATTAAACAAGCTGTAAAGAAGCTCTATGACACTGATGTGGCTAAGGTCAACACTATGATTCAGCCTGATGGAGAGAAGAAGGCCTATGTTCGATTTGCTCCTGACTATGATGGTTTGGATGTTGCCAACAAAACTGTAATCACCTAAACTGAATCCAGCTGGCTAACTCTAAATGCAAATTTTTCTGAAAGAAAAAAACCCAACCACTCACCAACAGTACATTAGGCTTACTGATCTGGTAAGAGACTGGTGGAGCTCCAGTGGCTTAGGGGTAAAGCGCTGCACTGCCATCCCAAAGGCACACAGTTCGAATCTACCTGCTGCTCCACGAGAGACAGATGGGCAATCTGTGTGATTTACAGCCTCTGAAAACCCGCTGGAGGGCCAGCTATGAGTCAGTTCTGACTCAGGTACTATAACAACCTAGTAGTATTCACCCTTTTTTAGGTGAAGAATAATGTCAAGGAGGTACACAGGCCTTAGAACAATCAGCCGCACAAGGTTATAAGAGCTGCATTTGCCCAGTGACCAAGTCAAAAGGCAGGAAAGGACAGGAAGGAGGATGACTGGAACTGCAAACACAGTGAGGCAGGCAGAGCATGGCTGTTATATTGCAGGAACTGTCATCAGGAACATAAACCAAAATGTGTGTGGACTGTGCGATGGAAAACCAATTTACTGTGAAACTCACTCAAATCACAATAAAATGTTAAGGAGACAAACAAACCCACTGTAATCCCCAGGCCCACCTGTTCCCTGCCCCAAGGGAGGGTAAACACTCCCTCCCGGCCCTTCACATCCACCTGGGGGCCCTTCACCTCTGGTCCTCCTCTGGGGTGTTGGCTGACAACAGTGACATGACCATGGACTTGCCCGTCCCTTGGAGGCCCAGCACGCCAACCACCAACACGTCAGTCTGATCCAACAGGTACTGCGGGGAAGACACCGGGATGTTACTCTCACAAATGCATCACAGCTGCTGGGAATGGAGGGAGACGGGCAGACCCCAAGATCTCTGTGGCTTGCCTGTGTGAAGAAACACTTCTACTATCCTAATCCTCCCAACTGTGCAAAGAGCCCGTGCATGTATGTGGTGGTGAGAGGGGTGTGTGGAGTGTTCAGGCACAGTGAACTGCATCTCTCAGGGCTCTGACACAGGAAAGAGCCGACAGTGGCTAAGAAGAGTGTGAGAAACACCGGAGACGAGGGGCAGGTCGGAAGCCAGGGCCCAGTGGCTGAGGGCTGGCAGGTTTCTTGCTTCACGCAGGGTGGGAAAACAGGGGAAGCATAAGAAGGACAGCTGAGGGCCATCTGTCCAGGAAAGTGCCGCAGGATTTGGAGCTCTTCTGCCAATGTCTGATTTTCACCTCGGGGTCACTAACTTTCTAACTGCTAATCTTCACCACCAGGGGGCAAACGAGATCCTCCTTTAGAAGATGCAATTAGGTCTTCATTGTGGCTGTGCCTTAGAATTACACAGGACTCTTTTTTTTAAAAAAAAAAAAAAAACAAAACCCCAAATCCTGGGGCCAACTCTAGAAGTACTGGTTCAAAATATCCAGGGCTGTGTTATTTCAACACGTTGTTTTTGTTTGTTATATGCCGTCGAGTTGGAATAGTCTGACAGCTCACTCCCCCAAAGGAGCAGACTGATCGCCAATCTTCCTCCCAAAGAGCAGGTGGGTTCAAACCATCTCCCTCTGGGTTGGCAGTACAACTCCTTAGCACTCGGCTACCAGAGCTCCCAGGTTCAATACAGTTCCCTTACAATTAAAAGGAAACAAAACAAAAACAGTAAGGCAGGTCACATTAAGTGCTCCATAGGGGCCTAGTGGTAAGGAACGGCACTGCCAGCCTGAAGGCACACAGTTCAACTCCATCAGCTGCTCCTTGACAGAAAGATGGGCAATCATTTCTTATGCAGTTCACTGCTTCTGAGAACCCTCTGGAGGGTCACCTGTGGGTTGGTTCTGAGTTGGTGGTACATAACAACAGCAGCTATTATGGAGGTCACGACTACCAGCAGCAGAGTGTAAATGTAGAAAGGTCTACAGGACAGGGCTTAGGGCTATGGTCTTGGCAGTGACCATCTGAAAAACAAAACAAGACGCCTCTGTTGACATTAATGTGGGAGCGGAAGTAGAGGAGACAGAGGCCAGATAAATGGGTCTGCTGATGAGGGCACTGAGCTGAGCAGAGCATGCTAGGACAGCAGAGGAGAGAAGACGGGGACTGGGAGACTGGAGGCAGGAATGGGAAATCCAAACTAGAGGGCTGCAGGGATGAAGGGCACCCGACAGGGTGTGGCTTTCACAAGAGTGAGCAGGGTACTGCTGACCCCTCAGGAGGGCAGGGAGGTTGGAGATGACAGGGCACATGAGGTGGCAGTGGGAACAAGCTCTCTGACAGCTAGAATCTGAGTATTTCAGTCCTTTTACAACCAGATCAGCTGAGCTGGTACAAGTCACTGAAATCCAGCCTTGGTTAGGTGTGAGCTTTTGATCCCAGCCCCCTTGCTTCTGGAAGTGTCCAGGCCAATGCTGCCGACCAGGAGGCAGGCAGTGGGGATGGAGGAGCTGAGGGCATGAAACCAGAGGGGGCTCAGCAGGGAGGCGCCTGGTACCTCAATGGCACTGTCACACCAGTTCATCTGGTCATCCACCAGCTTGATGCTGTGCTTCATGCGTTCAGGGGGCAAGAGCTTGGCCTGGCCCACGACAGCTGGAGACAGAAAAAATAGGTGACAGAGGACCCAGTGAGGGGAGGTGGGGGGAGGGGGAGAGCAAGCACCCACTCCATCCTGCCGGGCCCCAACTCACGGTCCATGGCTGTTGGTGCGGCGGTGCCCATGCCCCGGTTCTGGATCTGGTACACCGGCTGTGTAGGTCTCTGCCCCTCCTTCTCGCCCTTGGGAGGCACGGGGGCTGCGGGGGGTGGGGGTGCAGTGCCCTCGGGGGTAGTTGCCCCTGTGCTGGCTGCAGGCCCCTTTCCCTCCTCCCTCGGCTTCATGAGGACGATAGGCTTCTCCAGAGGGGCCGGGGCAGATGGGGTAGCAGTGGCTGGGGTTGGTGGTGGGGGCTGCTTGGACTGTGGAGGGAGGGGGCTCCAGTCAGTGAACCTTATCCTGCCCTCATCCCTACCTCCCTCCAGAAGGTTCCACCCTCCTCACCCGCTCTGCTGGAGGTTTTGAGAGGATGATGGGAGTTTTCTGCATGACCGCTGCTGCCGTGCCCGTCTCTTCGCTGCCATCCTGTGGTGAGGGAGGGAGGTTACTCAGGAATGACTCCTGACTGTCCAATACTAAACACCTTCGTGCACCGGCCCCCTCGGCCCGACCAACTACCTGATGAGGTAAGTTCTATTACTGCTACACTTTTCAGATAAGGACACTGAGGCATAGAAAGGCTAAGTGGCTTTCTCAAAATCACACAGACAATACTGTATGAGTTGCCTGTATTCATATAACAAGCATGTCACACACAGAAAACCAGCATGAGGGGGCTGCTTGGCTTCCCAAAAAACACATACCGTGCACATCATTATTTGCATAAAAATATGGTAACCGGCAGAGGTAAGATGTGACCCCAAGAATCTACCTCTAGAATCATGGTCTCAACTACGCGGCTGAGTGGTAGGTGCAGATGAAAGGTGTTGGGCTCTGACACCAGAGAGGCCCAGGGTCCAACCTGGCTCTGCCTCTTGCTGGCTGTGAGACTCAGGTGAGTCTGTTTTCTCACCTGGGAAATGGGGATAGGAAGCTGTTCTTCATAGGACTATGTTGAGGGTGAAAGGAACACACAGGGGTGCTCACAAACCAGAGTTCCCCATGACATATGCTGTCCTCATCCCCTCTCTTCTCAATTCCTTCCTGCTCCAGGCAAGTCGACATTTATCCCTTTCACACCTTCTCCGACCCCTCCCAGAGAGGAGTTCAAGTTTGAGTCCCATTTCTTCTCCAATTTGTGAGTCTTAACCTTTCACTAGGCCTCTGTCTCGCACGATGTGACTGTCACTCAAAGAGGGAAGGCACTGAGGTCAGCAAGGACACGGAGGATGTGAGCAGCCCGTGAACGTGAGGCTGCCAGGACTCAGCAGCAGTCAGAAAACTGATGTCGTTGAGCTGTGGTGTTGGAGAATAGCACTGAATATAGCATGGACTGCTAAGGAGAGGGTGAAGCCAGGCTGCTCCTGGTTTTTCCTCGAAGTCAGAGATTTTGGGATAGTTGGTCCAGCTCTGGCGACTTAATGTTAAGAAGCTGAGCTGAGACCCAAAGGCAAGAGGTTGATATCCGCCAACTGCTCCAAGGAAGAAGATGGGGAATCTCCTCTTGTGTGATTTGTTGTTGTTATGTGCTGTTAAGTTGTCACAGTGACCCTATGTACAACAAACAGCCCTAAGCCCTGCTCTATCCTGTGCCAATCTTATTGTCTCTGACACATCTACCCCCATTACCCCAGTCACTGAGTCAGTCCATCTCATCAAGGGTCTTCCTCTCCTGCACTGTCCCTCCACCCTTCCAAGACTGGTCCCTCCTTGCAACATGTCCAAAGTATGTCAGTTGAAGCTTCAGAATCCTTGCCTCCAAGGAGCAACCTGGTTTCATCCTCTCTGGGGAAGCTGTTCTCTTAGCAGTCCGTGGTATATTCAATACTGTTCTCCAACACCACAGTTCAAAGGCATCAATTCTCCTTCTATCATCCCTAGTCACTGTCCAGCTCTCTGATGCATAGCAAGTGATTGCAAAGACCATGGCCTGTATCAGGTGCACCTTAGTCTCCAGACTGGTATCATTGCTCTTCAGTACTTTGGAGAGGTCTCTGACAACAGATGTTCCCATTACAATATGTCTTTTAATTTCTTTGCTGCTGGTGCCAAGAGTGTTGATTGTGGAGCCAAGCAAATTAAAGCTGTTAACAATCTCAATCTCTTCACCATCTATCATGATGTTGCCAATTGGCCCAGTGGTGAGAACATGTGATTTACAGCCTCTAAAAACCCATGGGAGAGTCAGCTATGTGTAGATTCCAATTTGAAAGCACCTAACAACAAGGTTTCTGGGATTCCCATTCTTCTCAAAGTTAGCCACAGTTTGTTGTGATCCACACAGTTAAACACCTTTGCATAGTCAATGAAACACAGACATTCCTCTGGTACTCCCTGCTTTCATCCAAGATCCATCTAACATTAGCTACAAAATCCCTAGTACCAAGACTTATACTTGGACCAGGAGGCAGTTGTCAGAACAGAGCAAGAAAACACTGCATGACTCAAAATTGGAAAGGGATGTGTCCTATTTCCAGACCTTTTCAATCTATATGCAGAAGAGATTATCTGGGAGGCTGGTCTGTATGAGGAGAAATGTGGCATCAGAATTGGAGGAAGATTCACCAATAATCTGCATTATGCAGATGACACAACCCTGTTTGGTGAAACTGAGGAGGAACTGAAGCACTTGCTACAGAAGGTCAAGGACTGTAGCCTTCAATATGGATTGAGGCTCAATATCAAGAAAATAAAGATTCTCACCATTGGGCCAATTGGCAACATCATGATAGATGGTGAAGAGACTGAGACTGTTAACAGCTTTAATTTGCTTGGCTCCACAATCAACACTCTTGGTACCAGCAGCCAGGAAATTAAAAGACATATTGCGATGGGAAAGTCTGCTGTTAGGGACCTCTCCAAAGTACTAAAGAGCAATGATATCAGTCTGGAGACTAAGGTGTGCCTGATACAGGCCATGGTCTTTACAATCATTTGCTATGCATCAGAGAACAGGACAATGACTAGGGAGGATAGAAGGAGAATTGATACCTCTGCACTGTGGTGTTGGAGAAGAGTATTCAATATATCATGGACTGCTAAGAAAACGAACAGGTCTGTCCTAGAGAGGGTTAAACTAGGCTGCTCTTTGGAGGTATTCTGAAGCTTCATCTGACATGTTTTGGGCATGTTGCAAGGAGGAACCAGTCCTTGGAGAGGGACATAATGCTTGGGGGTGGAGGGACAGTGCAGGAAAGGAAGACCCTCTATGAGGTGGATTGATTCAGTGACTGGGGTAATGTGGATAGATGTGTCAGAGACAGTAAGATTGGCACAGAATAGAGCAGGGTTTAGGGCTGTTGTACATAGGGTCGCTATGACAACCTGACAGAACATAACAACAACAACAACAACAACATAGAGGGACATGGCCTAGGAAGATGATACTATTTTCCCAGAAGGATGGTGTGAAGGAAGAGAGACCATGTGTTCGCCTTTATGCTGTGACTTGAGAGAAGAAGCAAGGCCCAGCTCTCTGTGGTGAACAAATGATTCTCCATTTTGCATAGTTTTATGGCTCAGAAGCCTGTCCCAAGTGTAAGGCTCTTCTACTCCTGCAACAGCACTCACAGGTGGGACAATTCTGGCAGTGAATCCCCTAAAGTGAGTAAAGTGAGGAGTAAAGGAGTAAAGTGAGGCACCTAAACTTGGGGCCCTGATTTCAGGACAGGCATCCGTTCCCGAGCTGCAGAATGGTGCCATGTGTGAAACAAGTTGGACCTGGTTCTGGTCCTGGCCCCACAGACTCTGGGCTCTGTGGCCCTGACCAAGTTCTTTCACCTCTGAGGCTCATTACTAAAAATTAGTTTGATCACAGGTTCTTCATTACGAGATAACCGTGACAGTTCAGGAACAGCTGAGAGATATGAGGTACTTGGTGCCATGTGGCATGCTCAGTAGCTCAAGTGCTATGATTGTTATTACATAGTTCTTAAAAACCTGAGTCCAGTTTTACAACAGTGGCACTATGCAGTATTTGTCCTTTTGTGACTGAGATATTTCACTCAGCAGAATGTCCTCCAGGGCCATCCATTTCGCATACTATTTCATGAGTTTCTTGTTTTTCAATGCAGCATAGTATTCCATTGTGTGAATATACCACAGCTTTTCTATCCTTTCATTTGTTGATGGGCACTTGGGTTGTTTCTAATTCCTTGCTATTGTGAACAAAGCCGCAATAAACACGGGTGTGCATATATCTGCTTGGGTGGCGGTTATGGTTTCTTTAGTGTATATGCCCAGTATTGGAAGTGCTGGGTCAAATGGTGTTTCTATTTGCAACTTTTTGAGAAAGCCTTCCACAGTGGTTGCACCATTTTACATTCCCAGCAACAGTGAAAAGGGGTTCCAGTTTCTTTTTCCACAACTTCACCAGCATTTGTTGTTAAAACAGAACTGACATCAGGGTTGAAGAGAACTTAAGAGGGGATTAAATAATGTATACTGCATTGAAACAGATGAGGGATAGAACTGTTTAAAAGGAATATATGATTGGATACTATTGTCATGACAAGAGGGAGTCCAGAATGAAGGCCGCATCATGGACTGGACTTGGGGGGAGGGAGGGACTGTGTAACAGTGAAAGAATTTTTCTTTTACTTTTCAAAGAGAAGATTGAACTGAGGGGGAAGGGTGGGCAGGGAGAAAAGTGCAACAATGAATGAAGAGAAATCCAAAGTCTATGTAAACTTTCATTAAAATTAATAATTTAAAAAAAAAGAATACTTTAAATTTTAGGAAAAAAACCCCAAAACGTGAGCCCTGGCATTTCTCTGCCCAAATTCTCTAATACCAAGCTCACTCTGAGTGCAATTCTAGTTTTTACCAAAGTTCAGAGTCTTCTGTTGGTCCTGGCTCCTTCTCTGTGCTCACCTCCTCTTTTATTCAAGCAGCCATACTGGGCCCCTGCCTATACCTGGAATAGCTGGAAACAAGCCACATGCCCTCACTCTGTCTTCTTTAGAACATTTATTGCTCAGATCCTGACAGTGTATTCCCTCTGCACCTTCAGGGTTCTGCTCAAGTCAGCTGTCCACCTCCTCTAAAGCAGCCCCCTTTATCACCTTCCACTCGCTTACTCCATGAGGGGAGCCAATTTTATTCACACGTCTACCTCCAGCATCTAGATTAGTACCCCACATATAGGAGGTGCTCACTCACATTACTGGCACAAATGGACGCACAGACCTTGCCTGTGGGCCTGGATACTCACCCGTCTCTCCCTCTCCCACGGCGCAATGTAGTCCCTTTCGCGACCACCAGGCCCAGAGAGGTTCTGGGGGCCTCCAGAGCCTGGTTCCTTCCACCGTCGCCGCCGCTCTATACCATACAGCCCAGGCTGGCTGTGCCCAGACTCAGACATCGTCACCTGCAGAGAGCATGAGGGGATTCTGGGCTGAAGAGAGGTTGCCTTCCTTCTCCTGTGCTTACCCTGGACCACGAGAGGCACTTCCTTTCAAAAGAGCTGCCTGGATGAGGCTCCCAGTATCCATTCTTCATTTCTTAGCAAGAATGAGAATCCTCAGTTCTACGCTGGGGCCACGGGTATCCAGAGCCCATCTCCTAGCCTCATTTAGCTGTGTGTGATCGATCCCATGACTTGATTCTTTGTGGCCAACGGTGTGACACCAGAAGTGGAATTTGGAAGCTTTCAGGGACTCTCCTGTACAGACTGTTGGGACCCCTGCCTTTATTCCATTTGGCTGGGTGAATATGGGTGTGGAGGCTGGGAACCCAAGCAGCCACTGTGGACTGTGAAGCCACTTAATGGAAAGAAGGTATAGCATAACCTACCTCTAGCAGCAGTGAAAACCAAACATGTAACTTTACTTGCAGCCAAAACTATTCCTAACTATAAGTCTTGGTTAAGATTATGTATTAGCATGGCTAGGGTTCTCTGGCTTGGCATTTCTGTACCAGTATAATGTGATCTGACATAAGAGAATGAGAGTGGGATGCAACACCTTTAATCTTGTCTGGTCCCATGTAGAAGGATCTTCTCAGGGTTGTGGCCTGCACTGAAAACACACACACACACACACACACACACACACACACACACACACACACACACAGACACACACATTGAGAGAGAGGAAGAGAGAGAGAACACATATGTGCCCTGGTGGCATAGTTGCTAACTGGTTGGCAGAGCCCACCAGCCATTCTGTGTGAGAAAGAGGAGAGGAGCTGTTTTCGCCAATAAAGATTTACAGCTTTGGAAATGTGATCGAGAGTCATTAGGAATCAGATTCAACCCAACAGCAGTAGTGCATTCTGATAAGCATATATTTATAGAAATAGAAGGTAATTGAGGGAAAGAGCGGGACAAAGGAGAAACAGAAAGAGGAGAGAAAAAGAGAATGTAATGGTGAGAAAGAGGCAAGAAACACACACACACACATACACACACACAGAGCACAAGCACACATACACACATACATACAAAGAGAGGGTGAGGGGGTTATGGGGGATGGGGAGCACAGACACTGACCGTCCAGCAAAGCCGGCGAGCTTTTCTTCAATCAGGATCCCGCATTTGCTTTGTCACCTCTGCTTCTGTGGACTTGAGCTAGGGGCCAGCCAAATTCCCCTCTGATCCTGGATTCATCAGCCTCTGAAGCCAGCACATCTTGCCTTCTCACCTGTCTGCCCACCAATCTTGGCTTCCACAGCTCCTGAAGCTACCTGAGTCAGGAGTAACTTCCATCCCGACATCTGAACCACAGACTCGGGACTTGCCAGCCTCTACAAGATCATAAGCCATCTCCTTGAGATAAGTCTCTCAGTTTCTCTCTGTGTGTGTGTGTGTGTGTGTGTGTGTGTGTGTGTGTACACATACAGATAGGTAGTGGTTGTTTCAGGGGCTGTGGAGTCTGTGAACAACAGAGCTGAACCCTGTCCTGTTCTGTCATCATCTGTGAGACACTTAAGCCCACTACTACAGTCACTGTGGCAATCCTCTTGTCGGGGGACTTAAGTAGCTATAAATTTCACTGGTTTTGTGCCTCTAGAAAACACAGTCATTCTGTCCCAACATAAATACAACTCAGAGGAAGGTTCACATAAAAACGAAACATTTCCTTTGCCAAAATTCAGGACAGCAGCTCCTTACAAATGAGTAAGGCGACCCTAACTCCACCAACTGCTCTTGATTATCAAGCATATGGGGTGAAGGCGGGAGGCTGCATTGAGGGACCAATCTTCAGCTTGCCACTAGACAACTGCTTGTCTATGTATCAGTGTTTACTTTCCATTTCTGATAGTCTCTTAACCCCCACACCATATTTCACTTCAAGGTCTCGTAACTGTGTAAGCTATTTTAAAAGGATCATAAAATATACAGCTACCTGCATAACCCTGCTCCTCACCATTATTTTCTCACAGATCTCTAGCCAAGAGTTCCCTCACCTGTTTACACATCATGGAGAGAGAGAGAGACACAGAGAGGAGAGAGGAGAGAGGAGAGAGTGTGGTTTTGAATAATAACTGCTTTCAGGATTCTGTGGAGCCATCTGGACGCACCCTGTTGGTACTGCAGTTAAGTACCTGCCCCCTAACTAAAAGGCTGGCAGTGAGAACCCAATGACCACATTTTGGGATAATGATGCTGTCTGCTTCCATAAAGATTACAGCCTAAGAAACACTATAAGGCTCTTCTACTCAGTCCTGCCAGGTCAACCTAAGGCATAAACACCTTGAGGGCAGTAGGTTTATGGAGCCATGTCTTATCTTCAGGGGTGGTGGTTGTTCGTAGGTGCTGCCAAGTCCTCACAGCAACTCTATAAACAACAGATCGGAAACCTATCCTATCCTGTGCCGTTCTCATCACTGCTCATTGCTGCAGCCACTGAGCTGCATCTGAGGATCTTCGTCTCCTTTGCTGACCCTCCACCTTTTCCAGGAAGATGCCCTTTCTGAGGTTCAGCCTCTTCTAACAATGGGCCCAAAGGCTCAGGGGTAGGAGTTGGCTAACTGCCAGCCTATAGGCCACATCTAGCTCAAGTGTGTCAGAGATGGCAGGGACGGCACAGAACAGGCCAGAGCTCAGGTCTGCTGTCCACAGCACCCAACAACAACAACCTGTCCCTACTTTTATAATCAAAGTTTTCTGGAATATAGCCACACAAATTGTCTTCTTAATACAATGTGAGACACACAGGGGAGAGAGTGTCCAGGTGGCAGTCTAAAATACTGAGTTTGTTTAGCACTTTTCTCCCTGGTGACCCCTTCGTCAGCCACAAAGTTGGTTCAAGATTGTCTTGCTAGACAGAGCTATGAGTCGATTACCACTCCACAGCACACAACAACAGAGGACTAAGGGTATGTTTTCATTCAGCATTTAAATGACTGTTTACAGTCTCCAGTGTGGGTGTCCCCTTCCCCTCCAAACTCTGGAATTCTTCCTTCCGTGCAATTAAGTGTCTGTTTACACATTAAACTGGAGATTGGTATTTAGTGTCTGCTTTCAAGTCTCAATAAGGGCTCTGTCCCACTACCAAACTGTGTTTACATATACTTAAGAGGATCCTGACCCTGGCATATAAGTATCTGTGTCCACATTATTCTGAAACTTACAATGCCATGAGGATATTTAAATACCTGTTTAGTATGTACATATAACTTGAGGACCCCTTCTCCCAATGCCATATATAATGGGCTCCTTTGGAGATTCCTTCAAAATGTGAAAAGCCAATGCTCTATGTTCACTCTTACCTACTCAGAAATTAAAGAATCTACACATTCTTTGGGGGGGGGGGCGAGGAGGGCTCTTCAATTTTTAAGCACCCCTTCACACATGCCCACTGGGATCTTCCTAAATTTAAGTGGCTATTTGCAAATATACATATATATATACATATACATATACATATATATAAATATATACATATATATATACATACACACACACACACACACACATACACATACAGGTTATTTGTATGGGGCTTTCTCTAGAACTTAGGTCTGTTTGTTATTCAGGGAGTTCGCCAGTAATTAGGTGTCTGCTTATATGCCTCCATGGGAAACCTCACAATTAGAATGTCTATTTACAAGCAGACACAAGATCTCCCAGTTTTAAAGACATGACCACCAGCAGCTTACTAAGATACTTCCAGAATTTAGGATTCCCTTTACACATTCTGAGAGCGATCAGCATTGGTTTACGGTCAGTTACACGCCCTTTACTAAGTGAGTCCTAGAACTGAAGTTTCTTTTACCCAGTATTTATCCCCTTGCCCCTCGTCACGCAGGGACTGCACTGGGGGAACCTGGCTCCCTAATCAAGTCCGCACACGCGAGACAGCGTACCGGGACTGGTTAACGGCAAGGGGGCGGAGCCTAGACACCATGTCCCGCCCGAAGGCCCCGCCCCCAGGCGGCGCGCGCCCCTCCCGCGGGCACGCAGGCCCTTTACCTAGGGCTGCGGTTCAGTGGATCCGGGGGCACAGCGCAAGAGGAGTGGCAGGAACGGGGCGGTGCGGCCGGTAATTGGCGTCGAGGGGCCGGAAATGTGAAAGAGAGGAGAAAGCTGGCAACCAGCACTGCAGACCGGCCTCGCTGTCCCGGAAGAAGCACCCAAGGAAGGCCGGCCTGAAGGAAGAGGAGAAGGAGGAGGTATCGCGGGGCCAAGCTGAACGCAGGCCCTGCGGGCTACCGGCTCTGCGCATGCGCTGTGCAGTGAGCGCGGGAGTTTCGGCGTGAGCGTCAAACGGAGCATGCGTGATTGAAAGCGGTTGACCTCAAAACGCATGCGGATGACGAAAGGGAGAAGGGCGGTTCGGTCTCAGTGCGCATGCACGTCCCCGGGGAATGGGGCGGCGGCCGGCTCGAAGTCGCAGATAATTTTGTCCTTTTCGTGCTTTTGGCGAGATGTAGATGGGTGAGGCTGCAGGGAGGAGAGGAATTTTTAATGCCCTGTGCTGGGTTCTTGGAGAGGGACAGCGCAGGAGGGGAAGACCCTCTATGAGATGGATTGATTCGGTGACTGGGGTAATCGGGATGGGTGTGTCAGAGGCGGTGCGGTTGGCACAGGATAGAGCAGGGTTTAGAGCTGTTGTGCATAGGGTCGCTATGAGTCGGAAACGACTCGATGGCACATAACAACAACAACATGCTGAGTGAATCCTGAGTACACAGGGATGAATCAGACTGGGAAGAGTTCCAGTCCGTTCTTGGCGAGGGTAGCGTCCAGGGGATCAAATCTCAAATGTTACAAGTCTAACAGGGCAAGGGCAGTCCACCTCGAGGGAATCGCTAAGCAAAGGCTGAGAAACCCGAGAGAGAAACTCTAGCAAAAGGTTCACCCCTTCTTCCAGGGGTAAAAGTAAACTTTAGACTAAAAGGAAAAGAGAAAACACAGT